GGAGCCGAGTGCGGAAGCGGGCGCGGGGTGTTACACGTGGCTGAAGAGAGCTTATGACAGTGTAGGGGGCCTGGAATCCTGTGGGGTCACCGGCGCTTTGGAACATCTTTGAGAATTATAGAGGTTGTCTCCAGAAAAATATATACACCCGCCAGAATTTACTGACAATGTAAAGGAAGTTCAAAGTATCTTTTTTTTTGTTGTTAATCCTCACCTGAGGATTTCTTTTCCCATTGATTTCCAGAGAGACTGGAAGAGAGGCATGGGAGGGGCAGGGAGAGAGAAACATCGGTGTGTGGACACAGTGACTGGTTGCTCCTGGCACCGCCCAGCCCCGCCGGGAAATCGAACCTGTAACTCAGGTATAACAACCCAGGTGCAACTCCGGTTCCTGCCCTTGACCGGGAATCTAACCCAATGTTTGGTCCGCAGGTCGAGGCCCTAACCACTGAGCAACCGGCCAGGGCTGACTCAGTTAATCTTTTAATTATTTTTTTCTCTTTTCTTTTTGTCTTTTAATATTTTTATTGATTTTCATAGAGAGAGAGGAAGGGAGAGGCAGAAAGAGAAACATCAATATAAGAGCGGAACATCGATTGGCTGCCTCCTGCACCCTGCCCCCTACCGTGAGATGGAGCCCACACCCCCAGCGTGTGACCTGACTGGGAATCCAACCAGCGACCTTTGGGCACATGGGCAGACACACAGCTGAGCCACAGGAGCCCGGGCTAATTACTTTATTCTTGAAAGGATATTCTAGCCCTGGGTGGTGTGGGTCAGTGGTTACAGCATCATCTGTCGCCTGCGGGTTTGATTCCCAGTCAAGGGTATGTACCTGGATTGCAGGTTCGCTCCCCACCCCACCTCCCGGCACCATCAGGAGGCAACCAGTCCATGTGTCTCTCTGTCATCCATGTTTCTCTCTCACTCTCCCTCCATTCCACTCTCTCTGAAAAGCAATGGAAAAAAATATCCTCACGTGAGGATTAACAAAACAAAAAATGTATTTGAACTTCCTTTATACTGTAATTTTAATATAACATTTAACAGCTTTGTGAAGATGTGATATTTGATAGGATAATTCCTCCTGTACTGTATCATTACCTTTTCTGAATCCTTCAATTTGAATTAGTTTAGGAAGAATCCATATCTTTAGAATACTGAGTTTTCCAAAAAAAAAACTCTCCTTTTGACATACCTCTCCTTTTGTTTAGAGCTTCTTTAATGTTTTTCAGTAATATATAATTTTAAATATAAAGATATTATACAACTCTTATTAGATTTATTTCTAGGTACTGAAACAGGTAGAATAAAATGTTTCCCAAAATTGCTCCATTGAGTTAAGCCCTGCTGGAACTATGACAGTTATCAATAGGTAGCTGTAAAACAATAGTCCAGGAACTAACCTGACATCTTTTAAGTTTGTTTTTCAGATCTAAAGCCAAGTCACAAACCCCAGAGACAAACTCAATACCTGGTTGGGAAAGTCCCTTCCCGTATCCCATAATAAGTCTTGTACAATCCCAGAATGGCTTGTGTTACCGATGTGTACCCAGACTTCAGTGGGACCCCATCATTTTTTTATGGTTTTATTATTATTTTATTTTTTTAAAAATATATCTTTGATTTCAGAGAGAGGAAAGGAGAAAGAGAGAGAGAGAGAAACATCAATGATGAGAGAGTCATTGATCAGCCGCCCCCTGAACACCCCCGACTGGGGATCAAGCCCACAACCCGGGTATGTGCCCTGACCGGGAATCGAACCCCAATCACCTAGATCCTAGGTCAACGCTCAACCGCTGAGCCATTCCCGGCCGGGCTTTTATTATTATTGATTTTAGAGAGAGGGGAAGGGAGGGGGTAGAGTGATTGAAACATTGATGAGAGCGAAACATTGATTGGCTGCCTCCTGCACACCTCCTACAGGGGATCAAGACTGAAACCCAGGCATGTGCCCTGACTGGGAATAGAACCGGTGACCTCTTGGTGCATGGGTGGACACTCAACCACTGAACCACCCCTGCCGGATGACTCCAGCATTTCTAAAACGGAAAAAGCCAGCCAATCTACACCCTGATTGGTTAACCCCATCAACTTCCTTGTTCCCATGGAATAAAAATATCTAAGCCCCACATTCTGCACACAGAAGCTGAGACCCTATCTCAGTGTTCTCACTCTCTGTAGAGCCTCTATAAATCTGCTTTTGCTTTTATCAGTGTCCCTGGTCTAAATTCTTGTATATCAGGAGACAAGAACCCAAACTTGTCTGTAACAGTACCATATATTTTTGTTGCCATTTCAAATTGTATAATTTATTACATTTTGAAAACATTGTTATTGATGTATAATTTATATAGTAAAGTGCATAAATCTTAAGTGTAAGCTCAGTGACTTTGTACATATGTATTATCCCTATTATCAGCACACAGAGCATTTTCAGCATACCAGAAGGCTCTGTCATGCTCTTTCCCAGTGAACAACCCCCACAGATAATCACCGTTCTCATCTCTGCATATGTCTTGGCATGTGTGTGAAGATTTTTATATACTGATTCAATAATTTTTGAAAATAATAATATAGGACCCTCCCAGCTTTCTGTTTCTTCTTGAGTTAGTTTTAAGTTAAAATTTCCATGAATTATTTAGTTGTGTGCTTCCCAATTAAATGGCATAAAATTGTTTCGCTGTGCCTGACCAGCATGGCTCAGGAGTTGAGCATCGACCTATGATCCAGGAGACTGAGGTTTAATTCCCAGTCAAGGCACATGCCTGGGTTTCTGGTTTGATCCCCAGTGGGGGGGGCATGCAGGAGGCAGCCAGTCAATAACTCTCTTATCATTGATGTTTCTATTTCTCTCTGAAATCAATAAAGACTTTTTTTTTATTGTTTCACCCTGGCTGGTGTGGCTCTGTTGGTTGGGCACCATCCAGTGCACTGAAGGGTTGCTGGTTCAATTCCTGGTCAGGGCACACGCCTGGGGTATGGGCTTGATCCCTGGTAGGGGGTCTGATGGAGGCAGCCAACTGATGTTGCTTTCACATTGATGTTTCTCTCTCTCCCTCTCCCTTCCTCTCTCTCTAAAAATCAATTTTTAAAAATTGTTTCTGTGATAGGCAGACATGAGCAGACCAAGGGTGATGGGTCAAGTACAGAAGGTCATCAGGGCGGAAAGCCTTGGGTTCCTAGAAAAGGACAACTGTAGGGTGTTACCTGGTCTCCAGGGTGACCTTTACTCCCCTAGCATATTGCTGGTGGTGCTGTTTGGACCCCCTGACCTTTCCTCCCTGGAGATAACATCTAGGCCTAGAAAAGTAGCAAAATCAGACAAGCAATGCCACAACTGAACTCAGGACCAGCTGCATTGAATAATGACCCCCTGCCCTGGCTCTGAACAATCAGTCCAGAGGAGACCCTGAAACTGAAAGGACACACCTGGAAAACTGCTGAATATTTTATTGAGATCTTCCCCTGGGACCTCCCCTAAAATCTCCACCCTTAAAACTCTTAGGACAGAGGACCCAGAGCATTCTCCCTCCTGGGAACACGTGGGAGTCTCCCTTTTCCCCTCCTCCTCCTCATCCCCCCAGGCTTCACCTTTACCTTCCTCTGTTCTAAGCTCCAAGGGTTCTTCCTTTACTTCTGTAACGTGTTTCCTAAGCCTATTCTTTTAATTTTTGTATATTTATTTATTTATTAAATATGTTTTTATTGATTTCAGAGAGAGGAAGGGAGAGAGAGATAGAACCCTCAATGATGAAAGAGAATCATCAATTGGCTGCCTCCTGCACGCCCTCCACTGGGGATCGAACCTG